AGTGGTGCATAAATAAACCGTAAAGTCAAACTTAGGGGTCCAATTTGCTTTTAAGCCAAAAAGAACTTATGAAGTCTTTTCACCAAAAAAAAAAAAACTTGTAAAGTCTAATTAAGATGCTTTGAATTTTGAAGCCAACATTATATAACAATGTTGAATTTTGAAGGCCATTGTATAAAGTCAATAAAAACTGTTTATTATACTCACCTTTGTTCATTTTTAAACGTAAATTTTGGCCCATATATACAACCAAATGCAAAATATTATTATATTAAATATTAGATATATTTTAAGAATGTCATGATTTACAATTCAGACTACACCAAATTGTAAAATAAGAGTCATTGAATGGGAGGTGAGGCTACCAATATCAGAGGCTCACTTACATCTAATGGTTATGGTTATGTAATCCAGTATAGTTCAAATTACACAATATTTTTTCCATATTTCAACCCATAATATCAGGGGCTCACTCACATCTAATGGTTATGGTTACGCAATCCAGTATAGTTAAGGTTACACAACATTTTTTCCATATTTCAACCCATACATCTTAAAATTTTAAAGTTAAATGCCAATTTTAGTCTCCCAAACTTTTAATTTCCAACATTTTTAGTTATTAAATTATGTTTTGCATTTTTTAGTCTCTAAACTATGAAATATATATATTTTTTAGTTATTATGTTAGTTAGTTTATTAAGTCTGTTCAAATATACAATTTTTTAGTCCTTACATTTATAATATATACATATTTTTAGTCCCAAAACTTAAATTTATAGACTAAAATTTGTATATACAAATAGCCTAAATGGATTAACGAACGAAAGTACTAAAAAATGCATTATTCATAATTCATGAACAAAAAATTACAAAAAAAAAAGTTCAAGATTAAAAATGTTCAAAATTAAAAATTAAAAACTAAAATTAACATTTAACCAAAATATAAAAACTCACAAATGAAAACATATACAAATGCATTCAATGAATTATATTTGGCTTGATGTTTTTATTAAATAGTAGGTAATGACAAATTTAGTTTTGAATTAATTTCATTAATATTAAACATGTGTGTATTTATGATTAATATTTAAAATTTATCATAATTATAATAAATTGTAGTGAGGATTTCAAAATTTATGACTAATTTTTGTCACTAAAAATCCATCTCCTCGCGTGCAAATATGCTGTAGAACATACAATGCCTGGATGGTGGCGGTTTTTTAGCATGAATCATATTTTGACAATATGTGGATAATCGATGACCTACCAAAAAAATGTGGAAATCTTTTTCAGTTTCAATGTCTAGTAATTGTTTAGGGTTGAATACACTTATACATATACGTCATGGGAATAAGTCTTTTTTTCACTTTCGTTATATAATTACTTGTCAATGATTTATAACTGATAGCTGATGTTCTAATTAAAAAGAATATATACAATAACTATCAAAAGCAAAAAGAAAAAAAATATATTAAAATGAGATATTACTTAACAGTATTGCAACTTTGCAAGTGGCTTGGCTTAGGAAGGTTTTGAAGTGATGACAGCTTCAAGTATAGCACTAAATCAAAATATTTAAATGTTGCTGATGCTTAATTCTTTTAATAAATGGTAACTTTAGTAAGAAGTGCCACTTTGTATTAATAGTTTAATCTTAATTTTATTAGCTATGTAAATATTAATTTAAGATAATTATTGATACACTTTTTAATTTAATATATTTTATAATATATTTATTAAAAAATTATTAGTTTTAAATTTAAATTTAAGATGAAAAAACTTTTAATTAAAAATTTTAATAAGTACCAACTACTTGTTACTCCAAGTGGAAAGAGTTTGATTCTCTTTAAATAAAATTTAGGGTTGGAGTCTTGTGAATAGAGAAATAGACACTGAAAAAGCTTTCTCCTAATAAGGTTTGATCTGACTTAATTTCAAATTAGTAGGGAACCCAATATGATTACTAGATATCAAGAGATTTGCACCAAAAAAATAAATTTTAATAAGTCAATTAATGAGTATTAATAGATATGCTCATTAAAAAAGTGTAACAGTTATTTTTTTATTAATTTAAGGATTTATCTAACTTATATCTTAAGGGTTTAAATTAAGAGTACA